GCCTGGCCAACATGGCAAAACCCCGTCTCTACTAAAAACACAAAAATTAGCCAGGTGGCACGTGCCTGTAATCCCAGCTACTGGGAGGGTGGGGGCTGAGGCAGGAGAATTGCTTGAACCCTGGAGGCGGAGGTTGCAGTGAACTGAGATCATGCCTCTGCACTCCAGCCTGGGCAACAGAGTGAGACTGTCTCAACCAAAAAACGTTGGAAAATCTAGATATAAAAAATCATTTGCAAGTAAGATGATTATATATCTGGAAAACTCAAGAAAATCAGTTGAGGCTGTACATGGTGTTTCACACCTGTAAACCCAGCACTTTGGGAGGTTGAGGTGGGTAAATTACTTGAGCTCAGGAGTTGAAGACCAGCCTGGGCAACATGGTGAAACTCTGTCTCTATAAAAAATACAAAAGTTAGCCAGGTATGGTGGCATATGCCTACAGGCCCAGCTACTCAAAAGGCTAAGGTAGAAGGATTGCTTGAGCATGGGAGGCAGAGGTTGCAGTGAGCCCCAAGATTGCACCACTGCATTCCAGCTTGGGTGACAAAGCCAGACCCTGCAAAAGAAAAAAAGAGAGAGAGGGGAGTGGAGGGGAAGGGGGAGGAGGGGAGAGAGAGAAAGAAAGAAGAAAGAAAGACAACCAACAAAAGGTTCACATGCTTTAATATAGCAAGATGGCTGCATACAAAATTGAGTCTCCATTTACCATAGCACCAACAACAAAAATAAAAGAAACACTTACATATGCAAGAGCTAGACGAAAACTTTAAGATGCTCTTTTTTTTTTTTTCTTTTTTTGAGACCGAGTCTTGCTCTGTCATACAGGATGGAGTGCAGTGGTGGCACGATCTCAGCTCACTGAAACGTCCACCTCCTGGGTTCAAGTGATTCTCCTGCCTCAGCTACCTGAGTATCTGGGATTACAGGCAGCTGCCACCATACCCAGCTAATAATTGTATTTTTAGTAGAAACAAGGTTTCACCTTGTTGACCAGGTTGTTCTCGAATTCCTGACCTTAGGTGATACACCCACTTCAGCCTCCTAAAGTGCTAGGATTACAGGCATGAACCACCATGCCTGGACCTATATCTGTATTATACATTTATTTAAACATATAAAAATTAAAATTTTGTGCATATGTGGTCACGCATGCACACACACACACACACACACACACACACAAACACACACACATACCTGAACAAAAAAAGAGATGTATACTTGGCCTGGGTGACAACATGAAACTCTATCTCAAAAAAAAAAAAAAAGAGAGGGCTGGGCGCGGTGGCTCAAGCCTGTAATCCCAGTACTTTGGGAGGCTGAGGCGGGTGGATCACGAAGTCAAGAGATCGAGACCATCCTGGTCAACATGGTGAAACCCCGTCTCTACTAAAGATACAAAAAATTAGCTGGGCATGGTGGCGCATGCCTGTAATCCCAGCTACTCAGGAAGCTGAGGCAGGAGAATTGCCTGAACCCAGGAGCCTGAGGTTACGGTGAGCCGAGATCGCGCCATTGCACTCCAGCCTGGGTAACAAGAGCGAAACTCCGTCTCAAAAAAATAAAAAAAGATATACCATATTCTTGGACAGGAAGACTATATTCATGAAGATAAGCTAGGTTTTACTGTTTTAGCAAAACTCACAAGCCTCGGTGGCTTAAAACAACAAAAAGTTTACTTGTTGCTCATACTATGAATCCATCATGGCTTGGCAGGGTGTGAACTTCACTGTATTCTCTCAGGGACATGTCTAAAAGAACAGCCATCACCTTGAACATTGTGGGTTATTATGTCAGAGGAAAAGGAAACTCTGTAGGTCATCAAACTAGTTGACAAGCTCAGCACAGAAATAACATATCAATTCTGCTCGTATCTCATTGACAAGTGCTAGCAAACAGCACCAACAACCACCTCAAAGACTCAGCATCATAAAAATAAAACTAAAATAACAGAGAATGGAAGTGACTTATCAATAGGCAGGTTAATAGAAAATAATAGCCAGGCCCAGTGGCTCCCACCTGTAATCACAGTACTTTGGGAGGCTAAGGCGGGTGGATCACCTGAGGTCAGGAGTTCAAAAGCAGCCTGGCCAACATGGTGAAACTCCATCTCTACTAAAAATACACAAATTAGCTGGATGTAGTGACACACATCTGTAATCCCAGCTACTCAGGAGGCTGGAGCCAGGAGAATCACTTGAACGTGGGAGGCAAAGGTTGCAGTGAGCCGAGATCACACCACTGCACTCTATGCTGGGCGAAAGAGGGAGACTCCATTAAAAAAAAATCCCCAAAATAATAGGTTGGTAACCTCAAATGCAAATGTTAAGAATGGCAGGAAAATTGTCACCTGCCCTAACCCATTTCTGATATTTGCAACTTTTAAAAATCAGGACCAGGACCTGCTGCCTCCAGGTCACCCCAACAGCAAATTTGCTGTGGCAACACCTCCTATATAATCTGCCATCTCCCTATGTATTTACTTTTCTTTTTTTTTTTTGGAAACAAAGGCACAGTCTTGCCTCACTGCAACCTCTGCCTCCTGGGTTCAAGCAATTCTTCTGCCTCAGCCTCCTAAGTAGCTGGGAGTACAGGTGTGCTTCACCATGCCTGGGTAATTTTTTTTAATAGAGATGGGGTTTCACCATTTTGGCCAGGGTGGTCTGGAACTTCTGACCTCAAGTGATCCACCCACCTTGGCTTCCCAAAGTGCTGGGATTATAGGCGTGAGCCACCACCCACTGCCTGTATTTACTTTCATTTTTTTCTTTTTCTTTTTCTTTTTTTCTGAGACAGAGTCTTGCTCTGTCACCCAGGTTGAAGTGTAGTGGCTCCATCTCAGCTCACTGCAGCCTCCGCTTCCTGGGTTCAAGCAATTCTCCTCCTGAGTAGCTGGGATTACAGGTGCCTACCACCAAGCCCGGCTAATTTTTGTATTTTTAGAAGAGATGGGGTTTCACCATGTTAGCCAGCTGGTCTCGAACTCTTGACCTCATGATCCGCCTGCCTCAGCCTCTCAAAGTACTGGGATTACAGGCATGAGCCACCTCACCTGGCCTATTTTTTTTTTTTTCATTAAAAAGGATTTGGGGGGGCACATAGTAGATGTACATATTTTGGGGTTACAGGAGATATTTTGATACAGGCATGCAATGTATAATAATCACCTCAGGGTAAATGGGGTATCCATTGCCTCAAGCATTTAACCTTTGTGTTACAAACAATCCAATTATACCTTTTTAGATATTTTTAAATGTACAATTACATTATTGACTATAATCACCTTGTTGTACTTTCAAATGCTAGCTCTTATTCATTCTATTTTTTTGTACCCATTAACCATCCCTATTTTCCCCCCACCCCCACTACCCTTTCTAGCCTCTGGTAACCATCCTTCTCTCTCTCTCTCTTTTTTTTTTTTTTCCTGAGAGTGGGTCTCTGTCACCCAGCCTGGAGTGTAGCGGTGTGATCTTGGCTTACTACAGCCTTGACCTCCTGGGGCTTGAGTGATCCACCAAGCTCAGCTTCCTGAATAGCTGGTCCTACAGGCATGCACCATCACACCCAGCTAATTTTTTTGTATTTTTTGTAGAGACAGGATCTCACTTTGTTGTCCAGGCTGGTCTGACACTCCTGGGCTCAAGTGATCCTCCTTCCTCAGCCTTCCAAAGTGCTGGGAATACAGGTGTGAGTCACAGCACCCATCCTGTCCTTCTACTCTCTATGTCCATGAGTTCAATAATTTTAATTTTTAGCTCCCACAAATAAGTGAGAACATGTGAAGTTTGTCTTTCTGTGCCTGGCTTATTTCACTTAACATAATGACCTCAGTTTTGTCCATGTTGTTGCAAATGGCAGGTTCTCATTCTTTTTGTTTGTTTGTTTGTTTGTTTTGAGATAGTCTGACTCCCAAACCCAGGCTGGAGGGCAGTGGTGCGATTGACTCACTGCAACCTCCACCTCCCAGGTTCAAGAGATTCTCCTGCCCTAGCCTCCCAAGTAATCCTAGGATCATGCCTGGGTAATTTTTGTATTTTTTGCAGAGACAGGGTTTCACCATGTTGGCCAGACTGGTCTTGAACTCCTGGCCTCAAGTGATCCACCTGCCTCAGCCTCCCAAAGTGCTGGAATTATAGGCATGAGCCACCATGCCTGGTCTCATTCTTTGTTATGCCATCTTCCATTTTGAAAATCATATATTTCTGGTGAACCAAAAATGATGAAAGAAATTCACAGCCGAGCGCTATGGCTCATGCCTGTAATCTCAGCATTTTGGGAGGTTGAGGTGGGTGGTTCACGAGGTCAGGAGTTCGAGACCAGCCTGACCAACATGGTGAAACCCTGTCTCTTCTAAAATTACAAAAATTAGCTAGCCGTGGAGGCCTGTACCTGTAATCCCAGCTACTCAGGAAGCTGAGGCAGGGGAATCGCTTGAACCGGGGAGGCGGAGGTTGCAGTGAGCCAAGATCACGCCATTGCACTCTAGCCTGGGTGACAGAGCAAGACTCTGTCTCAACAAAAAAGAAAAAAAAAAGAAATTCAGAATAACTGGGAAGCATCTCTAAACTTTTGAAGTTGATATTTTGGAGACTAACCATGATCCACAAAATATACTTGGCATCTCTGCTAGAGATATATATGAATGAAATGGATTATGTTATATGTCATTTCTTATTTTCTTTCTTTTTTTTTTTTTTTTAAAGATGGGGTTTCACCATATTGGTCAGGCTGGTCTCGAACTCCTGACCTCAGGTGATCCGCCCACCTCAGCCTCCCAAAGTGCTGGGATTACAGGCGTGAGCCACCATGCCTGGCTATTTCTTATTTTCTAAAAAATAGATCTTTTGCTATCTTAAACAGGCTTCCATCCCATAGACCTTATATAAGACAGTCTTTTAGAACATATGACAAACATGAGTATAGTTCTAGGGCAATGACAGAGAATATTTGAAATCAGAACTAAACTAGAAAACTAGACATATAATAATTAGATCTACCTGGCATACTGGATCAGCCTATAGGCAATGTACTTGCGGAATAGGTATCCCAACTGAACCGTGTCCATATGAAGTATCTCAATTATTAGAGTCCTAGCTGTTGTGTGTAGCTGTGAAGGGAATCCACAAGTTTTTATAGCCTGATTTAATAATATCAGGTTCTTCTTCTGAGCTTCCACATCAACAAAATACCTCTTCTCTTCAAGTTCTTTAGGAGAGGAAGGAGGCACCATTATCTTGGGTTTCTTGGTACCTGAAACTGAACTCAGTATCCAGGGCTTGTCTATAGGAGGGAATCGGGATTTCTGGTACCATTCAGGAGGTGAAATCTGTGATGTTTTGAGTAGAGTAGTAAGAGAAGATAGTGATGTTGTAGGCTTCGTGAGAGTGGGAAGGGCCCCTTCATCAGTGTAAGGGCTTTGCGATACTGGTGTCCTGTATTTGGTGAGATGGGACTGAAATGTTCTAAATGATTCTATAGCAAAAGGATCTCGAAGTATCTGGGTTTCTTCAGAAGTATCAGAGACCTCTGACATTTGGAACTTCTTGGTGGTGAAAGGAACTTGAGATACCTTGAAATCTGGAGCGCTAGGATGGATCAGTTCTGATTTAGAGTTCAGAGAAGAAATAAATGCCAGTCTCTTCTTAGCAAAAGAAGGGGACCAAACTCTCTGGGGCTTTCCAGGGGTTGGGGACGGCCAGAGTGTGAGAGGTTGTCTAGGGGTGGGAGGGATCCATAATGAAGAAGCTTGCCCAGGAAGGATCCATGGTGCCAGATGCTGCCCAAGAGTAGAAGGAGCCTGCAGATGGGGAGATTGCTCAGCAGTGGTAGGAGGCTGGAATTCCTGGAGCTGCTCAGAGGTTAAGGATCCAGATTGCAGGCGGTCCCCATGGATGGAAGAGGCTCCAGGAACTAAGGGCTGCCCAGGAAAGAGAGGAGCCCAGAGACTGGGAATCTGTCCAGAAGCTGGTGGGACTGCAGCTATAAGTTGCTGCCTGGGGGCAAGAGGGGCTTTTGACATTTGAGGTGGTAGAGGAGTCAGAGAGGCCCCAGTTTTGAAAAGCTCCCTAGAGCTAAGGGCCTCCTGTTCAAAGGGCTGCCCTGGAATGGGAGGGACCCCAGATACTGGGAGCTGCCCAGGAGTGGGAAGGGCCTGTGGTGCTGGTAACTGCACAGAAGTGGATTGACCTCCGTATACCAGGGTCTGTCCAGACGAACGAAGAGTCTGTGGTGGCCCAAGCGTCTCAGCCTCAGGTAGAATTCCCATTTCTAGGGGCTTCCGAGGGGCAAAGGTGCCTTGATTGAGGGGAAGCTTTGACATCTGCAAAGGAGTAGAAGAGACCCCAAATATAGAGGACTTCTCAGCAGTAGGAGCAGATGATGCCAGGGACAGCCTAAGGCTTGGAGACAATCTTGATATGATGGATTGCCCAGTGGGGAGAGAAGCCTTCGATTCCTGAAATGGTCTATGGGTAGGAGTAGCCAATATGGCCTGCTGCTTAGGAATGTGAGGCACTCTTGGTGTGATAGAAGCTCTTGATTTAGGATCATGCTCAGACATGAGAGTAATACGCACAGGCTGGACCTGTCCTGGGGTAAAGGGGAAGCCCAAAGGTTGGACTTGGTTAAGGGTGAGGAGCGATCCCAAGGTATGGGCTTTATCTAAGGTGAGAGGAACCCCTAATTTCAATGACTGTTCTTGAGCCTGTTCTAAGTTAATAGGAGACTCCAAAGCCTGGGTTTGCACAGGGGTAAGAGTGACAGCTGACATCCAGGCATTTGCTGAGGTGATGGGGACTCCCAGTGCCTGGGCCTGCTGAGGGGTGAGAGTGATCCCCTGAGCCTGTGCCTGCTGAGGGGTGAGAGTGATCCCCAGTTCCTGAGGGGTGAGAGCGATTCCCGGTTCCTGAGCCTGCCAAGGGGTGAGCAGGATCCTCAATTCCTGGGCCTGCTGAGGGGTGAGAGGGATCCCCAGGGCCTGGGCCTGCTGAGGGGTGAGAGGGATATCCAGGGCCTGGGTCTGCTTTGGAGTGAGAGTGATCCCCAGCTCCTGAGCCTGTTGAGAGGTGAGAGTGACCCCTTGAGCCTGGGCCTGCTGAGTGGTGAAAGGGATCCCCAGGGCCTGGGCCTGCTGAGGGGTAAAAGTGATCCCCTGAGCCTGGGCCTGCTGAGGGATGAGAGGGATCCCCAGTTCCTGAGCCTGTTGAGAGGTGAGAGTGATCCCTTGAGCCTGGGCCTGCTGAGGGGTGAGAGTGATCCCCAATTCCTGGGCCTGCTGAGGGGTGAGAGGGATCCCCACGTCCTGAGCCTGCTGAGGGGTGAGAGTGATTTTCTGAACCTGAGGCTGCTGAGGGGTGAGAGGGATCCCCAGGGCCTGGGCCTGCTGAGGGCTGAGAGTGATCCCTTGAGCCTGGGCCTGCTGAGGGGTGAGAGGGATCCCCAGGGCCTGGGCCTGCTGAGGGGTGAGAGTGATCCCCTGAGCCTGGGCCTGCTGAGGGGTGAGAGGGATCCCCAGGGCCTGGGCCTGCTGAGGGGTGAGAGTGATCCCCTGAGCCTGGGCCTGCTGAGGGGTGAGAGTGATCCCCTGAGCCTGGGCCTGCTGAGGGGTGAGAGTGATCCCCAGTTCCTGAGCCTGTTGAGAGGTGACAGTGATCCCTTGACCCTGGGCCTGCTGAGGGGTGAGAGGGATCCCTAGTTCCTGGGCCTGCTGAGGGGTGAGAGGGATCCCTAGTTCCTGGGACTGCTGAGGGGTAAGAGGGATCCCTAGTTCTTGGGCCTGCTGAGGGGTGAGGGTGATCTCCACTTTCTGGGCCTGCTGAGGTGTGAGATGAATGCAGTTACTGAGAGGCTGTCCAGAAATAGGAAGAGCTCCAGGTGGGGAGGATTGTGGGGAGGGAGGTGTGACTGGTATGGGCTTCTTTTCATCAGGAAGATTTTCTAATGTCTTCAGATTCCTATGAAACTCTTCTCCTTGATATAACTGCTGTACATCTTTCACCGCGCTCTTCCACCTGGGAGATAATGTCATTGGAGTTTGGATGACCACTTTTTCTAGCTCTTTAAGTTTTATCTTCTTCATCTGCATCCGATCCTTTGTTTCGGTCTGCCTTTGCCTTTCAAGGTCCTCTAGCCCTCTCTCTGGCTTCCGCTTTTTCTTTTTCTCCTGTTTTATGATTGGCCCCAGATGTTTCATTTCCTTCTGAATCTGCCTCATCTGTCCATTCTCCTTTTCCAAGAGCAACCCTTGTGCCTTCATTTTTTGCATCCCTTCTTCCAGCTGCTGCAGGCTTGACTCTGGAAGCTCTTCTTCCTCCTTTCCTCTTTGCTTTTGCTTCTCCTCTTGCTCAGTCTGCTTAGGAGTCCTCTGTTTTTGCTCTGTCTTCCATATCTCTTCTTCCTGCCACTGTTTCTCTCTCTGTTGTTCTTGCTTTCCCTCCTTCATCTGGCGATATGCCTTTTTCTCTTCCCAATTCTCACTTATCTTCTTATAGTGCTCCTTTAAGAGATTTCTTTCTTCCAGCAACTGCTGTGTGAGACTCATGCCAGACATTTGTTCTTGATCCTCTTGCAAATATTGCTCCTGCCTTTGTTCTTCCCTCTCCTTGTGGTCTTTCTGTACTGTTGAGACTGTTGAAACATCTGTTTCACTTTCAATTTCAGCCAAGATCATTTGTATTAAATTGTTAATTACTGGATCTATGCTCTCATGTGAGAGAAAGGAACTGCTTTCAGACTTCTGAAAATGCAATCCTGGCATAAATGAGATTACCTTTTTTTGTTTTTTAGGTTTCCTAACTTGTTCTTCCTTTTTTTTATCTTTGTATTTTCTCAAGATTTTAGTCACAGTTTCAGCCACTTTTTGGAAATATTCCTCCATTTTTGCCTTTATGATTCCTAATTTTTCAGCTTCTGCTCTTTTTAATAACTCCTCTTCCTTCACAACAGTCTTTTTGTCAAAAGGCTTTCCGATGTTATCAATTTTCTGTTTTAGGAAAGCCATTATAGCGTTCTGAAATTCTTCGAGGTCACTCTGTTCACTTTTGCCATCTGGACTTTCTAGAACTCTGGTAGATTCTGAAATCTCTTTAGCTACCCTTGAGAGTGATTTAACAAGTTGATGAGATTTGACTTGTTTGGTTAACACTTCCTTCTCTTCAGTTTTTTCTTCTTTGCTTGTAGTAGTTCCTGAAGAGATATGGTGTTTTTTTCCTTTTATTTTTCCTTTCTGTGGCTCAGCGGTATAATCAGATTGGATTGTACTGAGTGGCGCCACTAGGCTTCTGATTTCACCTTTGCTTTCTTTGTGCAATGCCTCAGTGGTGGGTTCCACTTTAATCTCTGGTGCAGTTGGTCTTCTGTCAAATGGAGACTCACGTTTGACCTTCCTAAATTGTTCCAACATAATACTTGTTCTACTTCTGCCACTGTGGCTCTTTGTTTCAGTGAAAAAGAGATGTTGGCCTTTTGCTTCAGTGGGTGCCTTTGAGTTGACTTCAGAAAAGGATCTCTTTTCTTTTCTTTTCTTTTCCAGTGGCTCATAGTATTGACTAGGATTGGCCTCTGAGACTTTCTGGCCACCTTTATTATCACTCAGATTTGGTTCAGAGGTCTCATCTACATGTGTGCCTTTTGTGTGCTTTTTTTTCCATGCTTGATACTCGTCACCTTTCTTCAGTGATACATAATCTTTAGTGCCATCTTCAGAAATATCTTTGGAAGCCACAGGTTGCTGTTGCTGTTCAGTTAAATCTGGAGTTGTTTCAACTTGGGCTGTATATAAAATGGTGGAGTCCCATTTTATCCCAGAGCCCTTGGTCCGTTTTCTTTGGACTTCATCTACAATATTTTCAAGTTCCTTGTCTAAAATATTGTCCGTATTGTCCTCAATATCACCAGCTTTGATAATGGCCCTGGATGACTGCGGAGAAGATCCAGATAATGCTTTCACGGTTGATGATGAGGACAGTGTTTTATACACCTGTTCTGTAACAATTTTGGATCGAAGAAGTTGTTCACATTTTTCTTCTGCATCATGAAGTTTCTGCTGAAGCATTTCATTTTCATTACTGAGATCTTGTATTATCTTCAGAGAGAGCTCCTTTCCTGCTTCACTTGTTTCATGTTCATATATAGTAGAACTTTGGAAGTTAAAACATTTTAATTCATCACTTAGCGTACTCAAAGCTTTAGAAAGGTTTACTATTGTTGATGATATATATTTAATAGCATTGTTTTCCAATGTACTGAACATTGTGGTGGCTATGAGTTCCTGTAGCATACCTTGGATCTCTGAAACCTTTGTATTTGTAGCAAATTGATTACTAATCATCTGATCTGGTCTTAAAGCATGGGCTGTTGCAGGTCGTTTCATAACTCTTTCTTTCCAAGATTTCCACAGAGTACCTCTAGATACTGAAGAAAAAAACATAAAACTGTAAAATTGCACTTTTTCTTTTGCATTGTGTTTATCTATGTTTAAACCTAAGGAATTTAGCATAGATTAACTATAACTAATTAACTATAAGATAAAGATTAATCTGAAAACTTTAGCGCTAAAATAAACAGTATTATTTTTTAAAGAATGGCTCTTTTCACATAATCACCTAGAACTTTTTCTTTCTTTTTTGTTGAGAGGGATCTCCCTGTTTCCCAGGCTGGAGTGCAGCAGCATGATCACTACAGCCTCAACTTGGGCTCAAACAGTCCTCCTGCCTCAGCTTCCCTGCCTTTCTGAGTTGCTGGTGTTACAGGTGTAAGCCACAGGACCTGCCAACCACCTAAAACTTCTGCTTCCAGAGTTTAGGACATGAACTCAGCTGTGACCTCAACTTAATTTTAGTTACAAGTTTGGGGTTAGATATAATGTAAGACAAGGCCAGGCTTGGTGGCTCACTCCTATAATCCCAGCACTTTTGGAGGCCAAAGCAGGTGGATCACCTAAGGTCAGGAGTTCGAGACCAGCCTAGCCAACATGGTGAAACCCCATCTCCACTAAAAATACAAAAATTAGCCATGCGTGATGGTGCACACCTATAATCCCAGCTACTCAAGAGGCTGAGGCAGGAGAATTGCTTGAACCCAGGAGGCAGAGGTTGCAGTGAGCCAAAATCACGCCACTGCACTCAAGCCTGGGTGAGAAAGAGAGACTCCATCTCAAAAAAAAAAAAAAAATAGTAAGACAAAACTGTTCTGGCTTTGGTTGTGCTAATACTCTCCATTTTCTTTCTCAGATTCCTGTCTCTCCTTTCTCTTTTGTTCTGAATCAAAGCTAACCTTAGTTCTCTCAAAAGTGTCATAAATTAACAGATAAAAGACACACATTTGGCCAGGCATGGTGGCTTACGCCTGTAATTCCAGCACTTTGGGAGGCTGAGGCAGGTGGATCACTTGAGGTCAGGAGTTCAAGATCAGGCTGGCCAACATGGTGAAACCCCATCTTTACTAAAAATACAAAAATTAGCTGGGTGTGGTGGCATGAGCCTGTAGTCCCAGGTACTTGGGAGGCTGAGACAGGAGAACAGGTTGAACCTGGGAAGCACAGGTTGCAGTGAGCCAAGATCACGCCACTGCACTCCAGCCGAGGTGACAGAGTGAGACTCTGTCTCAAAAAAAAAAAAAGACTCACATTTGAAAAGATTTGCAGAATGGCTGAGTGAAAAAATCAACAATTTTTTTTTCCCAAAAGCAAAGATAAAACAGGGCAAAACTATCAAAACAACCATTTTAGGACTCTGAAAATTGACCAAAGGCATACAACACACTGAGAAGCATTTATTCACAAAAAACTTCAGAACCTTAGTAACAAACAGTGAAAATGTGCTAAATTGGAGTTGCATCCATCCTCAACCCCCTAGATTCGTGGCTGGGGACTTCTACCAGAGTGAGACAGGCTGTAAGGATTGACAACTCTATTGCCTACGGGGATGATTTGACTTGGCGCAAAGCATGGAAAAACCCATGCCCAGAGGCATTGTCGGCTGAGGCAGGAGAATCACTTGAACCCAGGAGGCAGAGCTTGCAATGAGCCAAGATTGTGCCACTGCACTCCAACCTGGGTGACAGAGTGAGACTGTCTCAAAAATAAATAAATAAATGAAAATAAATCATACAAAGTATGTTTCCCAATTGCAAAAAAAATTATATATGTTATACTAATTCTGCCTCTCTTATTGAACCCTGAGTGATATGAGTTCTTAGTACAATACTAAAATCATGATTCATTTTTAAAAATTGATAAATTGATTAACTAGATTTCATCAAACTAACACTTTTAGGCTTCAAAAACACCACTAAGAAAATGAAGACAAGTCATAGAAAGGGAGAAAATATTTGCAAATCACTTTTCTGATAAAGGACTTCTATCCAGCCATGTGTGGTGACTCATGCCTATAATCCCAGAACTTTGGGTGGCTGAGGCAGGAGGATCATTTGAGCTCAGGAGTTTGAGACCAGCCTGCACAACATGGTGGGACTCTGTCTCTACAAAAAGTTTTTAAAAATAAGCTGTGTGTGGTGGCACACACCTGTAGTCCCAGCAACTCAGGAGGCTGAGGCAGGAAGATCCTCTGAGCCCAGGAATTCCAGGTGGCAGTGAGATACTATTGCACCAATGCACTCCAGCTCAGACAACAGAGCAAGACCCTATTAAAAGAAAAAAAGAAAAAAAAAAAAAAAGACCTATATCCAGAAGGTATAAAGAAATGTTAAAACTCAATTTAAAAAATGGGCAAGTAGGCCGGGAACGATGGCACATGCCTGTAATCCCAGCACTTTGGGAGGCTGAGGCAGGCAGATCACCTGAGGTCAGGAGTTCGAGGACAGCCTGACCAACATGGAGAAACCCCATCTCTACTAAAAATACAGAATTAGCAGGACATGGTGGCACATGCCTGTAATCCCAGCTACTCAGGAGGCTGAGGCAGGTGAATTGCTTGAACCCAGGAGGCAGAGGTTGCAGTGAGCCGAGATCATGCCATTGCACTCCAGCCTGGGCAACCAGAGTGAAACTCTGTCTCAAAAAAAATAGAAAAATAGAAAAGGAAATGCATGCAAACCGAAACTACAAAGAGATACCACTTCACATATACTAGGGTGGCCATAATAAAAAAAGACAATAACAAGTGTTGTTGAGGAAATGGAGAAATTGGAACCTGCATACATTGCTGATGAGAATGTAAAATGGTACAGTCATTTTGGAAAACAGTTGAGAGTTACTTTAAAAGTTAAACATAGGCCGGCTGTGGTGGCTACGCCTGTCATCCCAGCACTGTGGGAGGCCAAGGTGGGTAGATCATAAGGTCAGGAGATTGAGACCATCCTGGCCAATATGGTGAAACCCCATCTCTACTAAAAAAAATATGAAAAATTAGCTGAGCATGTTGGCATATGCTTATAGTCCCAGCTACTCTGGAGGCTGAGCAGGAGAATTGCTTGAACTTGGCAAGCGAAGGTTGTAGTGAGCCAAGATCCTGCCACTGCACTCCAGCCTGGTGACAGAGCTAGACTCTGTCTCAAAAAATAAAAAAAAAGTTAAACATAAACTTACCATATGGACAAGAAATTCTACTCCTAGCTATCTACTCAAAATAAATGGGTAAATACTGGCACTCCTGGCTACCTACCCAAAAAATGGGTAAATAATGGCATTATTCATAAAAGCCCCAAAGTGGAAACAGTTCAAATGTGTATCAACTGGTGAATGGGTAAACAAAATGTGGTATATTTAAACAACTGTGTAAACTAGCAATGACAAGAAATTACCAAAATGTCCTATAACATAATTGAATTTCAAAAACATTGTGCTAGTTGAAAGAAAACAGACAGAAAATACCACATATAATATGATTCTGTTTGTGTGAAATATCCAGAAAAAGCAAATGTAGTGGGAGAGAAAATGCATGAGTGACTATCTGGCGCTGCTGATGGGTATGATATTGACTACAAATTAGCACGAGGGATCTTTTTGGGATAATGGAAATGTTCTCAAAGTAGATTGTTGGCCGGGTGCAGTAACTCACACCTGTAATTCTAGCACTTTTCGAGGTCAAGGTTGGCGGATCACTTGTTCAAAACCAGCCTGTCCAACGTGATGAAACCCCTGTCTCCACTAAAAATACAAAAAAATTAGCCAGGCATGGTGGCAGGCGCCCATAATCCCAGCTACTCAAGAGGCTGAGGCAACAGAATTGCTTGAACCCAAGAGGCAGAGGTGGCAGTGGGCTGAAATTGTGCCATTGCACTCCAGCCTGGGTGACAGAGTGAGACTCCATCTCAGAAAAAATACAAAATTTTAAAAATAAATTAAAAATAAAATTAAATTGTGATAATTGCACAACTCTGTAAATAGACACAAAATCACTTAATTGTACACTTCACATGTATGCAAATTATACCTCAATAAAACTGTTTTTTTGGCCAGGCATGGTGGCTCACACCTATAATCAATGTGGATCACCTGAGGTTGGGAGTTTGAGACCAGCCTGGCTAACATGGTAAAACCCTGTCTCTACTAAAAATACAAAAATTTGCCCGGCATGGTGGTACACGTTTGTAGTTCCTGCTACTCTGAAGGCTGAGGCAGGAGAATCACTTGAACCCTGGAGGCGGAGGTTGCTGTGAGCTGAGATCAGGCCACTGCATTCCAGCCTGGGTAATAGAGGGAGACTGTCTCAAAATAAAAAAATAAAGAAGCTGGGCGCTGTGGCTCACGCCTGTAATCCCAGCACTTTGGGAGGCTGTGGTGGGCAGATCACCTGAGGTCAGGAGTTCAAGACCAGCCTGACCAATATGGTGAAACCCCATCTTTAAAATAAATAAATAAATAAAAATAAGCTGTTTCTTTAAGAAAAAGTTAAACTCCATCTCCAAAATCATAAAGCACCCTTACATATTTTTTTCTTTTGTTTTCTCTTTTCGTCAAGGAAAAATATACTAAATCTGCTTAGTATCTTGACATTGTTGTCAATAGCTTTTAATGTTTCCGGTAACATCTCCATTTGTGCTATCCAGTGGTGGTGTTCATCAGCATCCATTAGAGTCATCTCAGACAAAATGGCATCTTGAAGAGAGAAAAAAAAATCATTTTTGTGCAGCAAAATAAATAACTATATATAAGCTTATAATATTGGTTAACTACTCAATATAGTTGTATTGGGGAATATAGGTATCTCACACTTATTGCCATTCTGAAGGTTTTCTCAATGAAGAAATTAAAAAGAAAGAAACTGGCCGGGTGCAGTGGCTCACCCCTGTAATCCCAGCACTTCGGGAGGCCAAGGCAGGCAGATCATGAAGTCAGGAATTTGAAACCAGCCTGACCAACATGGTGAAACCTTGTCTCTACTAAAAATACAAAAATTAGCCAGGCCTGGTGGCAGGTGCCTGTAGTCTTAGCTACTTGGGAGGCTAAGGCAGGAAAATCATTTGAACCTGGGAGGTAGAGGTTGCAGTGAGCCGAGATCAAGCCACTGCACTCCAGCCTGGGTGACAGAGCAAGACTCTGTCTCAAAAAAAAAAAAAAAAAAAAATATATATATATATATATATATATATATATAATAAAAAGGAAGAGACTTAGAAGGCTAAACAGTAAGTCTTAGACATGAAGACATGAATCAAAAGTGTCTATTTGATTTGGTGCCTAAAATGTGTGTGTGTTTTAATATTGGAGATCTAAGCCCCAATTAACTCGTTTGGCAAGTTATCCAGTATTTTTTTTTTTTTTTTTGAGACCAAGTCTCGCTCTGTTACCCTGTCTGGAGTGTACTGGTGCCATCTCAGCTCAATGCAACTTCCACCTCCCAGGTTAAAGCGATTCTCCTGCCTCAGCCTCCTGAGTAGCTGGGACCACAGGTGGACGCCACCACACCTGGCTAATTTTTGTATTTTTAGTAGAGACACAGGGTTTCACCATGTGTTGGCCAGGCTGGTCTCGAACTCCTGACTTTGGGTGATCCGCCTGCCTCAGCCTTCCAAAATGGTGGGATTACAGGTATGAGCCATCACACCCAGCCGTTATCCAGTATTTATAACCCTCGTTGAATGAAATTTCTAGCCACAAAATAAAATTCCATTTTTTGGTATTCTTAGCTTATTCCTTCTTTCATTCCACCAGCGTCTACTCTGACTTGTGGTATTCTAGATGCTGTGGATGCAACATTAAGTAAAACAAATTCCCTGACTTCATACTTCTTACCTTCTGGTGAAAGGAGAGAGAGAAAAAGTTGATTATATAGGAAATCAGATACTAATGCTATAGACAAAAATAAAGGTAGGCCAGCCAGGCGCAGTGGCTCATGCCTGTAATCCTAGCACTTTGGGAGGCTGAGGTGGGTGGATCGTTTGAGGTCAGGAGTTCAAGACCAGCCTGGCCATCATGGAGAAACCCCATCTTAAAAAAAAAAAAAAAAGAAAGAAAGAAAGGTAGACCTGGTGCAGCGGCTCATACCTGTAATCCCAGCGCTTTGGGAGACTGAGGCAGGTGGATCGTTTGGGGTCAGGAGTTCAAGACCAGCCTGGCCAACATGGTGCAACCCTGTCTCCACTAAAAATACAAAAATTACCTGGGTGGTAGTGGTGCATGCCTGTAGTCCCAACTACTTGGGAGGCTGAGGCAGGAGAATCACTTATCACTTGAGCCTGGGAGGCAGGGGTTGCAGTGAGCCAAGATCACACCACAGCACTCCTGTCTGGGTGACAGAGTGAGACCCTGTCTCAAAAAAAAAAAAACAACGCCAGGTGTGGTGGCTCACGCCTGTAATCCCAGCACTTTGGGAGGCCAAAGTGGGTGGATCACGAGGTCAGGAGTTCAAAACCAGCCTGGCCAACATAGTGAAACCCCATCTCTACTAAAAAATACAAAAAAATTAGCCAGGCATGGTGGCCCATGCCTGTAGTCCCAGCTACTTGGGAGGCTGAGGCAGGAGAATTACTTGAACCCAGGAGGTGGAGGTTGCAGTGAGCCAAGATTGCGCCATTGCACTCCAGCTTGGGCAACAGAGTGAGACTTCATCTAAACAAACAACTGAAAAAAAAGGTAAAGTGTAAAGAAAAGTGTCAAGGGGTAGGGAATAGGGATGGTCAGAGAACATCTCATTTTAAAGTGGAATTTAAGCAGGGAATGAGCCATGTGTCCAACTGGTGGAAGACGCTCCAGATAAGGGAATAGTATGCATAAAGACACTGCTGGCCTGCTTTTAAAAAAGCAAGGAGGCCAGCAGAACTGGTACTAAGTGAATAAGCCTATATTTTTCCTATTTTATGCCTACTGGAATAGAGGATAACTATTCTCTGAATAACTTCCTTAGTCTTTTCTTCTTTAGTCTAATCCTTCAAAATTTACTTATATATTCTCTTCTATATCTTTTTCATTAACTTTGTGGTTTTCCTCTGAACCACTTCTGTAAACTTACTCCATTCTTCCAACCAGACCAGAATGTTGACAAGAGTCTTTTCTCTAATTTCAACAGTCTTAGCGTAAGTAGCCATTTTCTCAAGAAAACTGGTTCTCTGTTTTCTCTTATGTTCTGTAAGGGAGACATTCCTTTCAGAGGGCGAGTTAAAAAGAAGAGTATAGCGAGTCATTATTCGATGCACATTGTTCATTATTTCACTCAGCTGCATATCAATGTCCTGTAAGAATAAGAAGGGGGAATGTATTAATCTTCAGTTTGAATAGAAGCTTTGGTCACCTTTCTTCTCAGAATGTCAGTGACAGTTAATTTAAAGGTGTCCAATTAAAGTCTTGATAATTCTAGCTTTATTGTGAGTCTCAAATTTTCCCTATTAAAAAAAATTCTTTTTCTGCCTTCATCATCCTAGCAATGCTATGATATAATGGAAAGAGCATTGGGTTTGAACCCATATCTGGATCTTAACTCTAGGTCTTTCATTATCATAACTTTTTTCTTTTTTGAGACAGAGTCTTGCTCTGTTTTGAGGCGCCAGGCTGGAGTGCAGTGGCACAATCTCGGCTCACTACAATCTCTGCCTCCTGGGTTCAAGCAATTCTCCTGTCTCAGCCTCCCAAGTAGCTGGGACTACAGGCACACGTCACCACGCCCAGCTAATTTTTGTATTTTTTATATTAGAGATGGAGTTTCACCATGTTAGCCAGGATGGTCTCGATCTCTTGATCTCGTGATCCGCCCACCTCGGCCTCCCAAAGTGCTGGGATTACAGGCGTGAGCCACTGTGCCCAGCCTATCATAAGTTTTTAAATTTTTTTTGAGACAAAGTCTTGCTTTTGTCCCCCAGGCTGGAGTGCAATGGCGCGATCTTGGCTCACTGCAACCTCTGGCTCCTGGGTTCAAGCAATTCTCCTGCCTCAGCCTCCTGAGTAGCTGAAATTACAGGCGCCTGCCACCACACCTAGCAAATTTTCGTATTTTTAGTAGAGATGGGGTTTCACCATGCTGACCAGGCTGGTCTGGAACTCCTGACCTCAGGTGATCCACCCACCTCTGCCTCCCAAAGTGCTGGGATTACAGGCATGAGCCACCTCACCTGGCCTAAAATGACTTTTAATAAATCACAGCATTTCCGAGCTCCCTCTGCAGCCCCTATAAAATGATGGAGATACTAAATTCACAGTTGATGTGAAGTGTATAAAATTTGTGAATATGCTTTATAAGCTGTAGCTGCTAAAAAAAAAAAAAACACAGACAAACAAAAAAACCACGGTGGCTCACCTTATAATATCAGCACTTTGGGAGGCCAAGGCAGGGAGATCACAAGGTCAGGAGTTCAAGACCAGCCTGGCCAACATGGTGTAATCCCATCTCTACTAAAAATGCAACAATAAAAAAATTAGCCTGGTGTGGTGTCAGGCACCTGTAATCCCAGCTACTCAGGAGGCTGAGGCAGGAGAATTGCTTGAACCTGGGAGGCAGAGGTTGCAATGAGCCAAGATTACGCCACTGCACTCCAGCCTGGGTGACAGAACAAGACTCTGTCTCAAAAAAAAAAAAAAAAAAAAAAGGAAAGAGAAAAGAAAAAAATGCAGGATGCTTCTTTTTTGCTTTTTTACCTGGAAAGCAGTTATCAGAATATTCCTCAAACATACTTTTCTTTTTTTTTTTTTAAATGGGGTTTCACCATACTGGTCAGGCTGGTCTCAAACTCCTGACCTCAGGTGATCTGCCCACCTCAGCCTCCCAAAGTGGTGGGATTACAGGCTTGAGCCACCACGCAGGCCAAACATACTTTTCCTTTGTTATCTCCTTTGCTTATCACTTTATCAGCTTAGTACATTGAGTATGTAGGGAAGAAAAAGAATCTTATCAGCAAATCTCTTTTCTTCATCACTCTATCCTAGAAATTTTTTATGGATAATTACTACCTCATATATGGCATTTGGAAATTTGTGAAATCATTTTTGGTTGTCATAATAATTGTGAAGGTAGAATACTACCATTTAGTAAAGGGTACTGGCCGGGCGCGGTGGCTCAAGCCTGTAATCCCAGCACTTTGGGAGGCCGAGGCGGGTGGATCACGAGGTCAACAGATCGAGACCATCCTGGTCAACATGGTGAAACCCCGTCTCTACTAAAAATTACAAAAAAAAATTAGCTGGGCACGGTGGCGCGTGCCTGTAATCCCAGCTACTCAGGAGGCTGAGGCAGGAGAATTGCCTGAACCCAGGGGGCGGAGGTTGCGGTGAGCCGAGATTGCGCCATTGCACTCCAGCCTGGGTAACAAGAGCGAAACTCCGTCTCAAAAAAAAAAAAAATAAATAAAGGGTACTAAGAATGCTAGTCCATCCTACAGTGCAGTGGATGGTATCACACAATGAAGAATTGTCTCAAATCCTGTGTGAATTTGAATGTCTCATAGGACATTGATATAGGTTTAAAAAAAATCTATTTATACTTATCCAAGCCTAAAATCAAACTCTTTTTAAAAATATAAACAGGCCAGGTGTGGTGGCTCACGCCTGTAATCCAAGCACTTTGGAGGCCAAGGTGGGTGGATCACCTGAGGTCGGGAGTTCTAGACCAGCCTGACCAACATAGTGAAACCCCATCTTAAAATATATATATTTATTAACAGACCAAAAGCAATATCTCACACCTGTAATCCAAGTGCTTTGGGAGGCCAAAATGGGAGGATCTCTTGAGGCCATGCATTCAAGACTAGCCTGGGTGACAGAGTAAGATCCTGTCTCTAAAAAAAAATTTTTTTTGCTGGGCATAGTGGCTCACACCTGTAATCCCAGCACTCTGGGATGCCAAGGCAGGTGGATCACTTGAGGTTAGGAGTTTGAGACCAACCTGGCCAACATGGTGAAACCCTGTCTCTACTAAAAACACAAAAAAAATTGCTGGGCATGGTGGTGGATGCCTGTAATTCCAGCTACTCAGGAGGCTGAGGCAGGAGAATCTCTTGAACCTGGGAGGCAGAGGTTGCAGTGAGTCAAGATCACACCATTGCACTCCAGCCTGGGCAAAAAGAGTGAATGAAACTCTATCTCAAAAAAAAAAAAATTTTTTTTTAATTCAAAGTGGTTTTTGCCCAATTTAATGATATGCTACAATTTCCAGGAATACAAATAATACATAAATCAAGAAAAAATTTTCTTTAAAATTTCTCCAAGAAATTAGTGTTAATAGTATTTAGTGCTAATACAGTAAAGCTGAATTTGTATCAGCCTCCATTTTTATCTTTCTTATTTATTTATTTTGAGATGGAGTCTTGCTGTCATTTAGGCTGGAGAGCAGTGGCATGATCTTGGCTCACTGCAACCTCCGCCTTCCGGATTCTTGCAATTCTCATGCCTCAGCCTCCCCAGTAGCTGGGGATTACAGGCTTCTGCCACCAGATCTGACTAATTTTTGTATTTTTAGTAGAGACAGAATTTCACCATATTGGACAGGTTGATCTCGAATTCCTGACCCTAAGTGATCCACCCACCTCAGCCTCCCAAAGCCCTGGGACTACAGGCATGAGCCACCATGCCTGGCCCAGATTTATTTTAATTCTACATATAGATGCAAGCCTCTATCTACTTCTAGGGAAGTTTGACCTATGACTTACACACTGAAATGCATGTTATTATAAATTGCTTTACTTTTACTTATTCTCACATTTATATTTTTTAAGTATAGGTAGTGTTTTGTCTTGTTTTGTTTTGTTTTTATAGACGGGGTTTCACCTTGTTGGTCACGGTGGTTTTGAACTCCTGATGTCAGGTGGTCCACCCACCTCGGTCTGCCAAAATGCTGGGATTACAAGCATGAGCCACCATGCCCGGCCAAAGTATAGGTAGTATATCTATGAATATCATTTTAGAGGAATAAAGGGAATGTTAAAAATATTTTTAGAGGCAAAGTAAATCTGACAGTTAAGAACCACTTCCAACTTTTTTATTCTCTCAATTTGTCTTCAGAAAAAATGAACTCTCTCTGCACTCCTTATAATAAGGGTAATATTTGGATTTTGCCAACCAAATCATCATACAAAATAAGTATTCTGATGTTAGGTGTATTTGCTCTTACAGCAAATAATAATTTAAATCAGGAACACAGGAGAGTCAAGGCAAAGTTTGCTAAGCCAAGTGATGAAGAATAACATTACAAGCTAACACATAGCACAGTGATCAAGGAAAAAATACTACCAACTCCTCATAAAGTCTCCTAAAAAAGTGAAGAGGAAAAAATACTTCCCAGCTCATCCTTTTAGGCCAACATATATCAAAGCCAGACAAAAGCACTACAAAATAAAAAAACTAAATACAAACATGCCTGATGAATATTGATACAGAAAACCTTAGCAAAATACTAGTGAACAGAATTCAACAGCACATTAAAAGGATTATACACCATGATCAAGTGAGATTTATTTCTGGAATCCAAGGATGGTTAAATATATGTAAATCAATCAATGCAATGCAAAAAATTAACAGAATGACAGGAAAAAACACACATGGTCATCTCAATTGATGCAGAAAAAGCATTCGACAAAATGTAACACCCTTTCATAATAAAAAATACACAAGAACCTGGGCACAGTAGCTCATGCCTGTAATCCCAGCACTTTGAGAGGCCAAGGCAGAAGGATCACTTGAGTCCAGGAGTTCAAGACCAGCCTGAGCAACATGGTGAAACCCTGTCTCTACAAAAAATAAAAAATATCAGCCAGGTATGGTAGCATGTGCTTATAGTTCCAGCTAGTCAGGAGGCTGAGGTAGGAGGATTGCTTGAACCCAGGAGGTCGAAGCTGCAGTGAACCATGATTGTGCCACTGCACTCCAGCCTTGGCGATAGAGTGAGCCCCTGTCTTAACACAAAGAAAAAATACACACAAAAGAAACTAGAAATAGAAGAAAACTTCAACATAATAAAGGCCATATATGAAAAGCCCACAGATAGTAATATACTCAATAGTGAAAGACTGAAAGCTTTTCCTCCAAGATTAGGCACAAGTCAAGGATGCCCACTTTCACCGTCTGTCTAACCTAGTACTGAAAGTTCTAGATACCACAATTAGGCAAGAAAAAGAAATAAAAGGCACACAATTTGGAAAGGAAAAACTAAAATTATCTCTGTTCACAGATAACATGATCTTAAATTGTAGAAACCCCATATATATAGAAAACTCAATATATGTAAAAACCCTAAGGATTACCCCTGCAT